ATCCCTTGAAAACGCGGCAAACGGTTAAGCCTCGGCTGAGAAACCCTGGATCAGATCACGGGAAGTGGTGGAAAAATAAAAGCTCGGTGTTCTTTTTTAATTTTTTTTTCCCGGGTTGGGGAGGGGGAAGAAATAATTCAACACACTACTTTTGATAAAAGTGCAGCCCAGGTAAACAGCAGCACTCGGACGTACCATACAGCCTGTACATTCCAGCAATGTCCCGCCGATATTGAGATAGGTCGCTCACACTACGAGACCTCTTAGGAGCAAGGCGCGGGTGAACGAGTTTGGGCCTAGGTAAGGTTGATGAGGCGTTGTCTACTAATATAAAGGAGAAGAAGCCTCATTCTTTGCATAGAGTCTTAGATCAATACTTCAGCCCTGCACCAATACAGACTGTCAAATCACCCTGTTCCATTGCGTGCATTAACCTAGTCATCGCCAACATATGCATTCTTCATTTTTTCCCCGCCAAACAGAGCATCACGTCATCTCACGCAGGCTGGCAAGACAAGATAAAGTCCTGCGAGAAAGTCTCTCTCAACTCAATCTGAAAGTGTGTAGTTAAAAAAATAAAATAAAAGAGTTCCCTGAATGGAGCTCAACTCCTGGTCGATACACGTTCACCCCAATGTTTGCATCCATGGCTCATTGCCTTCTTACTGTAGTTCATCGTTCGCTCTACTTTGATGGCTTCCCACTTAAATGCCAAGCAGATCTGAGTCTCCATAGCTTTTTCATCCACTGCTACCATGGTCCATTTACTGTGGAATTAACCCATGGAAAAATTCTTCCAGTAGACTCTACATGTATCTCTAGAGCCGTGGTGGTGCAGTGGTTAGAATGCAGCATTGCAGGCTAATTCTGCCTATAGCCTGGAGTTCGATCCTGACCAGCTCAAGGTGGATTCAGCCTTCCATCCTTCCGAGGACAATAAAATGAGGACATAGATTGTTGGGGGCAATATGCTGAAGTTGTAAACTGCTCAGAGGGGGCTAGAAAGCACTATGGAGCGGTATATAAATCTAAGTGCTAGTGCGGTTGCTATTATCTCTGCAGCTCTTTTCAGATAACCAAGGCCAGGTAAATGGGTGTGCCTTTTACCAAAGTGCCATGTGGTTGCTAAGATCTGTACAGATCAAACATTTGATCAGAACTGGGACAAGGGGTAAAAGAAGGGGAAAAAACCCACCCTTTTTTCTTAGGTCCACTAAAATAGAGGTCCCCAACCTTTTGGGCACCAGGGACTGGTTACGTGGCTAAAGGTTTTTCTGCGGACCGGAGGGGACGTGGTTTTCTGTGCTGCCTGCATCCTGCAGATGCGGCTTTGTTTGTTTGTGCGGACCGGTTGCTGGCATGCCGCGGCCCAGTACTGGTCCACGGACTGGGGGTTGGGGACCCCTGCTCTAAAACAAATAAATAAACATCCTTAAGGCTGCTCTTGGTCCTTAAATCAGGGTCCCTCTTGTGGATGACTGGATTTTGGAAAGAATGAATGAACCCCCTTTTTCATGTGTCAGTCTTGGTCCTTCTTTATCTCATCCTCCATGGTTGCCAGTAAAAGAAAAGAGAACGTACACAATTTAATATCAGTTGCGTACGGAGGAGAACAGGACCCAAAGAATCAATTGAGATCATCCAAGATCCTTGGTGGCGCAGTGGTTAGAATGCAGCATTGCAGGCTAATTCTGCCCAATGCCAGCAGTTCGATTCTCACCAGCTCATGGTTGACTCACCCTTCTATCCTTCCGAGGTCAGCAAAATGAGGACTCAGACTGTTGGGGGCCCATATGCTGACTCTGTAAACCGCTTAGAAAGGGCTGTAAAGCACTATGAAGCGGTATATAAGTGCTATTGCTACCTACCCACTGGAAGTCACTCTCTCCCACTTATTTGCTAAAAAAGACAGTGGAGTTTTGGTGAACTACATTTTGTGATTTTTGCTTCCAAAGATGGCTTGTGCTCCCCTTGGAACTCAACCATCCTTCTCTAGTTGCATCCGGATGACCTTCTTACAATTATTTTGAGTTAGATCTTTCTGCTTCTGCCTAGAAAACCAAATCTTACAGCCAGTTATAGCTTTGTTTTTAAATAGACTGGAGAAGATTTTTTTCCCCCCACGTTAAGCTAGAAAAGGCTTACCACGGCGACATTTAAGAAAAAACTATTTAAACCTGCACTTCTACTCCATTCCTACTGGTTTGGGAATTTTAGGAACTGTGTTCGTTAGCCAAAAATCTTTCAATCTTTTTGGGGAGGGGGAAAAAAAAGAGAGGTTTCCTATATTCACATATTCAAAACACCGTTACAGATATCACACAAAACTTCATGGAGTTGGTCCCGTCTGGCATGTGTACACTGAGGTGATGGTGTACCTCTGAAACTCTGGGCTGGCATAGCCTTGATTCCAAGTTCTGCGTTGGGCATGGTACGCTGTTGTAACTTCCTTTTGGCTTCCAAAACAGGATTTTCAAATTGGGTCCTCCTATTTATGTGGCTGAAAATATAAAGAAACCCATGGTCAACTGGAGTGATCCCTTTTCAAGAACTGCCTCGTGAAACCTGGATTGATCGGATCTCAAGGAGAAGACCCTACTTTTTAGGCCAATTAAAGGAGGGGTGATGTCATTGACGCAAAGGCTGAGCAAGATCTGCTCGTGTCTGTCATGACATCGTGACCCAAACGACAGAAATGAGTTTACCTCACAGGGTTGCCCCTTTTACGCCTTAACTGTGTGTCGGAAGGACTTACGTGTCAATTATGTGTAAGGAGCTTTGCCTTCAAAGGCAAGAAAAAGAGCTCAGATATCGGGGCGAAAGGCCAGGTTCATGTGTGAAGGTTCCATTAAAGTGCTTCATTGCTGAAAGCCTATGTACAGGAATCTGCTCAGCTAAGGGCTAGCAATTGATGGGAGTTAGATAAGGATCAACAGAATCCAAGGGGGATTGCACTTAGTTCATTGGCGGCTACATAAGGATTCTAGGCTGATGCCTCTTGTAACTCCACCCCAGGTTTTGCCATCCCTTCTCCTACATATGGAGCATCAACAGCTCAAGTGTGGAAATGCAAGTTGCAGGATGGAGACCTCAAGTAAACCTCAGAGAAGACTACAACGGAGTGGCAAAAAAAAAAAAAAAAAAAAAGACTATGGAGAAGACAACTGCTGTTGCTATCCAGTAGGCATCTGGCAGCTTTTACAGAAGCTGTTGCATACTTAGCTTGTTTAGAAATAGGCCAACAACAAATACACACAAACACAAGGTGCCTAGTTGCCTCCCCAAAGTTCTCAAGACTTGCTTAGTCACCTATCAGTGAGGGAAAGACTTGGTACCAATAACAGATCAGCTCTTTAATTTTTTTTTTTAAAAAAATGAAAACTAAAATATTGGAAATAACAATCGGGCTGTAATCCCAGGGAAAACTGGTAGTCCTCAATTTACAACAGTTCATTTAGTGACCGTTCAAAGTTACAAGGGCAGCGATAAAAGTGACTTGTGACTGTTTTTCACACTTATGGCCTTCGTAGTACTGCCCCCCCCATGATCACGTGATCAAAATTCAGATGCTTGGCAACTGACTCATACTTATGACCGTTGGTGTGTCCCAAGGCCTTCTGACAAGCAAAGTCAATGGGGAAGCCAGCTTCACTTAATAACCGGGTTACTAACTTATCAACTACGGTGATTCATTTAACAACTGAGGCAAGGAATGTTGTAAAATGGGGGCAAAACTTACTGGACAAACGTTTCACTTAATAACAGAACTTTTGGGCTCAATGGTGGCCATGCGTTGAGGACTACTAGCATTACATTTTGTTTGCTACCAGGAATGGCTTTTACCTCAATCTTTCCTTTGGAAATATTTTTTTATCCAATTTCAAAGAGCAAAATAAATCAATAAATTTAATGCTGAGGCGTTTGCGCTCGGTACAGAATTTTAGACAACACACAGATTGTGGCTTTGGAAAAATCCGGGTAATATCCACAAACTGCAGACACCCCCCCCCCCAAAAAAGAGGCAGATTAATAGAAAACCATAGCCAAACACAAAATATGTCTTTTCCAAATCTCTCTACCCATTGTCATCGTCTGTTCCCGTGCCCAACATCTGTCTAATATTTCTGAAGATTTTATGCTTTGCTTGTATTCTGAATCTCGAAAAGATTTTTTTAACCTTCTATTTTTCACCCCTTGCATAGAAATAAAATAGGATTCCAAGAGGGATCTTGGACAGTGGTGGGATTCAGCTGGTTCGTACCACTTCAACAGAACCGGTAGCTAATTTTTTGTTGCCCAGGCCCAGAATGGACTTCCGGAAGTGGCATCCACACACAGAACCGTTTGTCCACATATTTGAATCCCACCACTGATCTTGGAGTCCTAGTGGACAATCACTTAAATATAAGCCAGCCGTGTGTGGCAGCAGCCAAAAAAGTCAATGCAGTCCTAGGCTGCATTAACAGAGGGATAGAATCAAGATCACATCCAGTTTTAGTACTGCTTTACAAAGCCTTTGTAAGACCACACTTGGAATACTGCATCCAGTTCTGTTCAGCACAATTTTTATTAAAAAGATGTTGAGGCTCTGGAAAGAGTACAGAGAAGAACAACAAAAATGATTAGGGGGGCTGGAGGCGAAAACATACAAAGAATTGGGTATATCTAGTCCAGGGGTAGGCAACCTTGGCTCTTTTATGACTCGTGGACTTCAACTCCAAGAATTCCTGAGCCAGCCATGCTGAGGGGAAAGGGAGAGGTTTCCAAGCTGAGCCATGTTGGCTCAGGAATTCTGGGAGTTGAAGTCCAGGAGTCATAAAGCGGCCTAGGGCAGGGGTAGGCAACCTTGGCTCTTTTATGATTTGTGGACTTCAACTCCCAGAATTCCTGAGCCAGCATGGCTCAGCTTGGAAACCTCTCCCTTTCCCCTCAGCATGGCTGGCTCAGGAATTCTGGGAGTTGAAGTCCATGAGTCATATCCCTGATCTAGTCGAATGAAAAGAAGGGCTAGGGGAGACATGATAGCAGTGTTCCAATATCTGAGAGGTTCCTACAAAGATGGGTGGTGGTGGTGGTGTGTCAAACTAATTTTCAAAGCACCTGAAGACAGAACGAGAAACAATGGATGGAAACTAATGAAGAAGAGGAGCAATCTAGAACGAAGGAGACATTTCCTAATGGTGAGAGCAATCAACCAATGCAGTAGCTCGTCTCCAGAAGTTGTCTATGCTCCAACACTAGTATGGGGCATCCTCCTTGAGCAATGGGGTTGGACTAGAAGATCTCCACCTTCCCTTCCAATAATATTCTATGTCTCAAAGGTGCTTTTTCACAAGGCAGCTGGACTTTTTTCTTTTTCCTTTGAAGGCATTTCGCTTCTCATCCAAGAAGCTTCTTCAGCTCTGCTGAAGAAGTGAGTTTTGCTCCCTTTAATGAGCTGAAGAAGCTTCGTGGATGAGAAGCGAAACGTCTTCAAAGAAAAACAGGACAGTCCAGTTTCAGTCCACCTTTGAGACAACCGTGACCTGGACGACTGAGAATCTCCGTAGACATCTATTATCCTATGTTCTATGATTAATCCTTTGGATTACAACCTAATACTAGTCTATTCCTTACATTGAAGCATTTCTTCCTTTTTTTTTTGTACAGACAAAGCATCTGCATCAATGAATCGAGATCTTTTCCTCCACGCACATTACTTTTCTGCTGGCTGTCCCATAGCGCTTTCCATCTGCCTTCCTTGCATCAATGAGTTGCAGCTACTATCTGCTCAGAACGTCCCTTGCTATATCCCATTTGTTCTCTGTGGCCCACCGCATGAATTATAGGGGCTAATCCTTTATAGAAAGTTATATTTTGGATGAGTGATTTATGGCATTGAGCGCATCCCTTTGATCTATTCGCACTCGGATGATCAGTGGTCAATAAGAAAGGCATGGAGTGTGGGATACAGGTGACCTCTCAAGAACAACAATCAGAACTGGCTTTATGAAAGAGAAATTAATAGGTACTAGAATAGTGGTGGCGAACCTATGGCACGTGTGCCAGAGGTGGCACTCAGAGCCCTCTCTGTGGGCACGTGCGCCGTTGCCCCAGTCTCACCTCCTCCCACTGCTCCCTCACCAGCAGCCCCCCCCAGAGAGTCACCCCCAAGCGCGGTCTGCGTAGAGCAGCGCAGCCAAGGACATGGCAGCCAAGCAGCGGGGACAAGACTCCGCCCTCGCACCCTGTCACACACAGATGATGTGGGTGGGCGGGATGCAGAGCGGGGGTGGGCAGAGAGGTGGGGGCGGGTTTTGGGCACTCGACCTCTAAAAGGTTTACCGTCACTGCACTAGAATGTGGGTTTCGTGAACAGACAACTAATACTTATTTACAGGGAGCGCTCAACTTCTCCACATCTTCCAATCTTGCACTACTTCTTTGAGTTGTTCTATTGTCTCAGTATATAGGTAGTCCCTGACTTACAAACAGTTCGTTTGGCGGCCGTTCAACGTTACAACAGCACTGAAAATTGACTCATGACTGTTTTTCACATTTACGACCTTTGCAGCATCCTCAGGGTCACATCATCAAAATTCAGATGCTTGGCGACTGACTCATATTTATGATGGTCGCCGTGTCCCGGGATCCTGTGATTCCCCTTTTGTGACCTTCTGACGAGCAAAGTCAACCAGGAAGCCAGATTAACCGTGTGACTAACTTAACAGTGGCAGTGTTTCACTTAACAACTGTGGCAAGAAAGGTCGTAAAAAGGAGAGGAAAAAAATCATTTAACAAACATCTCGCTTCGTTTCTGTCGAGGTTCTCATCTCCTTCCGTCTCTCCACTGTGAGAACCGATGAAGCCTCTTGGAGGAGAAGCGAAACATTTTCTTCCTCAAGGAAAATAAAACCCAGTCCAGTTGCCTTTTGAAAAAATCACCTTTGAGACAAACGTCTCGCTTAGCGACAGAATCTTTCAGCTCAATTGTGGTCGTAAGTCAAGGATTTACTCTACTGTACTTGCTGTTGATATGTATTTGCTTTGCTGTCCCCTCCAGGATAACTTGTCTAGATGTTTGGATTAGATCAGAAGCTGTCAGGGACTTTTGCAATTCCTGCAGCAAAATGAATTCCCGCCAATCCTGGCAGGACGATATGTCATGAATGGAACAAGGCAAATATTATAAACATGGTGTCAACAGACATCCCCTCGCGTCATTTTTAAGCTTTTGTCCACGCTGCTAACGTCGGATGTTCTTGCTTTGACAACATATGGAGATGCAGCCTTTTTCTTTCTCAGGCTTTACTCTTAGAATTAGATGATACTGGGGGAGGGGGAGGAATGTGATGGGAGTTAGTTAGACGTAACAATATTGTAATAGTGTGTGAATTCAGGACGTTTGTAATAAAGAGATGATAAGGCATGGCGGGATGAAGAACTGGGCGGAAAGCCTGCATTTCAAACAAATTGGAGAATGTGATTTATGACTGTTAGTTGTAGGAGGGAATTGTGCTT